AGGATGTCTTTTCATTGCTACAAATTGAACATAATTAAAGCATAGTGATTAATCACAAAACAATATGTAATTATATATTGTGAAATATTTATTTCTAGTTACAAATAAATGAAATTTTGTCTTGAAGCATGGTATAGCATGGGTAGCAGTCTTCACGCTGGGTACTCATGTGGGCATATCTGTATATGGGCGGACCTGCCTGGAGATGGATAGAGGAGCGGTGTCTCGGTTCCTAAGACCATCGGAAATATGTGTTTCCCGATGGTCCTAGGCGACACCTGTGAAAGGGGTGTTCGAACCCCGAAGGGCCCGCGACCCACAGGTTGAGAACTGCTGGCAGAGGGTGTCAGCGGCTGTAAATCTTTACGGGAAAAATAAATAAATAAATAAAAATCTTTACGGGAGCAGAAACCTCATTGTCCTGCCGATATTGCCGCCACAGCTTAATAAATACATGATGGATAGAGAGATACAGAGATATAGTTTTCAACTATTCTGAAATTAGGAAAAGGCTCTATATTACTTAGGTTTCTGATTTCTTTACTCAGTCATAAATGTGATCTGTGTAAGATGTGATTTTGGATGTTTTGTGATGTGACTCATGTTTCCATGGAGTCCAGCTTAGCCCAGATTTATAAACATGGGGTTTTCCAGTGTTATTTAACATTACAGCTCTTTCCGTCCATCTGCTTGGCTTCCTAGAAACAATGTAGGCTGGAGGTAAAGACCCAGTGACCGCCGTGTTCAATCCAGTGTGATCGCTGTGGACTTGGAGGGAGGGAGGGAGTTATCGTCTGCATAGTCTTGTCTTGTTTTGATGTTTTACGTCATCGTTTTCCTATTAATAGTAATTACTTCATTGAGTTGTTTAAACTAGTTGAATAGATATAAAACCCCTAACATTGTTCTTGAGAAACTGTAAATCTCTATTTTATGGCTTGAAAAAGTTCATGATGTGGGCTGGACCTGATCTGGTTTCTAAAATTTTCTGTGGTTTTGGGTTTGAACTGTTTTCTTCATTTTTGTTTGCTCTTTTTAGAGTGTATCTCAAAGGTGTTCATGTCAGTGGATCTCACCCTCTGAAGCTGTGTTACATGCTTTTCTGTTTTTTGGTATATGAAATCCAAGTTTGGCGCACCTATAGGGGAAGCAAGTAGAATAAGGGAATCAGGGGCACTGTGGGGTGGGGGTATGGTAAGAAAAGACACTGTCAAAGAGCCCATGGACAAAAGGAATTTGGGGAACCTGATTGTGGTAGCAATTGTACATTCTGCTTGATGTGATTGAAATATGAAATGATATATGTACTAAACTCTAACTAATAATAAAACCCAAAACATTGAATTGTAATTTTTTTACAAACTTTTAAACCCCTGTTCTCTTCAGGGAAAGTGAATGATTTGGACAGCCTGACACAAGTAAGCAAATTGAGACCTGGTCAGACAGGTGAGAGAGAATATGGTGGGATTGTAGTTAAGCATTTGGCTGCTAACCTCCAAGTCACTAGTTCAAAACCACCAGTCACTCCCAGAAAACAAAACAAAACAAAAAGAACGAAGAGGCTGTTCACTCCCATGAAGTGTTACAGTCTCAGAAACCCACAAGTGCAGCTTTAACTTGTCCTACAAGTAGGATATAAATCAGAATTAACTGGATGTTAATGAATTTGTCCACTAGATGTTAGTGAATTTGTCTACCATTTGTCTGTCAGTTTGTGGTATTGTGGTGGGTTGTGTGTAGCTGTGATTCTGGAAGCGATGTCACTGGTATTTCAAATGCCAGCAGGGTCACCCGAAGTGAGCAGGTTTCAGCAAATTTCCTAGACTGAGAGCAGACAAGAAGGACTGGGATGCTGAAACCTTATGCAGAGTTTTAGAACATCGTCAGCTACCGAAGACCTATGGAATGTAGCATGACCCTTTCAGAGATGGGGCCTGGCTCGAAAGGCACTTGAAATGTCACTGCACAGGATCTGCTTTCTCCAAGCAGAGTCGACCACGATGAGGGCTGTGAAGTCAAGCCTGGGGGAGTGGAGCCTTCAGGATCTCTATTTCCTGATGGCGCACAAAGCAAGGTAAGAAGAAGCAGTTACAAAGTTCACTGATAATTAGAACTTGGAATGTACCAAATTGGTACTTTTAGGTCCCACAAGTTGGTTCCTGCTCATAGCAACCATATGCACAACGGTCCTGTCCCATTCTCATAATTGTTTTCCTGCGGCTATTGTTGCAGCCAGAATGTCAGCCTCTTGGAAGGTCTCCTAGTTTTTCGCTGTCCCTCTACTTTAGCAAACACGATGTCCTTCTCCAGGGATGGGTCTCTGCTAACAATAAGGCCAAAGTACGTAAGATAAAGTCTTGCCATCCTTACGACTAGGAAGCCTGCTGGTCATCCTTCTTCCACGACAGATTGCCTCTCTGACCTTGTTTAAATGTTCTTCAGTTTTATCTTGAAGCTGAAACTGTTTTGAAACCTATTTGCTTTGGGTGAACTGACTGGCATTTGAAATACCACTGACATGACTTCCAGCATCAAAGCAAAACACGAGTCACCACCGTATTACAAACTTACAGACAAGTGGTGGTTGATAAAAATGTAGTCTGTTCCATAGTCAGTCCCAGCCTGGTTTTAACTGCTGATATTGAGTTTCTCCATCATCCCTTCCCCCAAATATAACGAATTTGATTTCAGTGTATTACATTTGGAGAAATCCATGTATAGTTGACTTCTGTCTTGCTGCAAAAAAAGGTCTTTGCTAAGAACATGTTACTGGTTTTGCAAAATTTTATTATGCTATCCACAGCTTTATTTCTATAACTAAGTCCCGATTTTCCAACAACTCTTCCTTCCTTTTTGTTTCCAACTTTTGCACCTAATTTTCCAGTGCTTACTAATGCATCTTGATTGCATATTTGATCAATTTCAGACTGAAGTCATTGGTATATTTTTCAATTTCCTCATCACTAGCTTTTGTGGTTGGGGCAAAATAGTTGTATTGACTGAATTTCTTTGAGGGAAAGTATATGTACATATATATTCCTATTACAGATAGCATTGTATTTCAAGATTGATTTTGCAGTGCCTCGGATACTACTCTCTACCTGTTCCATTTCATTTGGATGACTTGTAACTCTGTTGCATTCATACTTCACCCATTCCATATTCCAATCATTGGCAGACCTTGAGTCATACCCCATTAACAAATGAAGATCCAGGCCGTACTCAGCTCACGCCATCATGGTTCACTCCAATCTGAGAAAGCAGCTCCTTAGCTACATTTTGAGTGGCTTCCAACCTAAAGAGCCCATCGTCCAGCACTATCTCTGACAATGGTTTGCTACCATTCATTAGGCTTCCGGTCTCTAACTGTGTTTTAAAGGTATGCCTAAGGTTTTCAGTTGCCCCTCCTCCCAAGTGGGGAACCAATTTCACATTCATTGTCTCTTCTTAGTCTGAACGCTCTGCTGAAATCTGTTCGCTTTGGGTGACCCTGCTGGCATTTGAAATACCAGTTACATAGCTTCCAGCATCATAGCAACACATCAGTCACCACAGTATGACAAAATGACAGACAAGTAGTTGTAGTTAAAATATAGGTAAGTAATAACATCTAAGTTATTGCACAAGACATCTAAGTTATTTTAGATATGGCAAGGGTTTGCTAAATAATAAAAATATTTTCCAGATGTTGATATGTTCAGGTATCTGAAAATAATATAGTTGACAAAAATAATAAGTAACTTGTTAAAAGAATTCTATATATGAGTGATTTCCCAATATCATACGTTTATATTTTTTAAGTTTATTGTAGACCAATCTGTCATATATAATATTGAGTAAATAGCTCTTGTCTCTGGGATGATGCCATCTATTCCCTTTCTTTTGCTAGTAAAACTCATGGGTGATTCTCTTCAAGCAGCAAAAGACAGATGTTATCTAAGCCATGAAATTAGAAAATCCAGCTAGATTCCTGCAATTCATTTTCTCTACCCAACTATTCTGACTGAAATTCTATTCTCTTTTGCTGTCTCTCTATACATATATAGAGAATTATGCTGTGTTTATTATTTTAGAGATATTTTCATTTATACCACCAAGAGATCATTTCACCCACTGCTCTGTTTGGCAGCCAACCTCTTACCACTCTCTTCAGCAATGGTGAGGTGGAAACCTTTCTCACGGGGAAAATAAATCCATGGTGTGCTATCTTTTTCAATAACGAAAATGTTGGAAAGCCAGGTGACAAAGCTATTGTCATCAGCATCTTTCATATGGACCACATCCAAAGAGGGAGGATGTTTCTCTCTACTAGTGATCACACCCCTTCTTCCCAGATTAGCACCTCCACTCACCGTACACATATTACCAGTGTTGAACTTGATGAGATCAGGAATTTTTCCAGTCTCCAAATCAACTTGAATGGTGTCATTAACCTAGATGAGGGGATCAGAATAGCCAATGATGTGAACATTATTAGTCACCAAGTGAGGCATTCCTTTTGTTCCCACAAAGACTTTTCTTTCTTTGTACAATGTGTACTTCTCCTTCTCAGGTATAATATGATGAACAGCAAAGTGTCCCTGGGTGTCACAGATCAGACAGAAATCTCTCCAATCTTGTTAATGTTGATGGTAATCAATAAAGCCAGCAGGATAGGTAATATCAGTTTGGACCTTTCCATCAATCATAATGAACCACTGCATGCAAATATATTTTAAAGCTTCATCACAAGTTAGATCATACTTCAGTCTAGTTCTTAAGAAAACAGTCAGTGGGAGACATTCTCTCAGCTGTCAGGAACCAGTTCATGGATGAGGAACAATCCCACCAGTCAGTGTTCCTAGGATCCAATTCTCTGGAGCAGCTAAGCACGTAGGATGCTTTTTGGGACTACAAGCCATGGCTATACTGAATAAAAGTAAAATTTGTATAAATTTATCATTTTAAAAATATTTTTATCTTTGTATAGGGAACAAAAAAGAAAGCTATAGCTATTTTGCTTTATTATTTATTGAAAAACAACAACAACAAAATTAACATCTGTAGAGTGAAGGTGCTTCCAGGAATGTCTAAGGAATGAAGTGAATGAGACCCAAGCATCCAAGTCCAGCAGGAGTGAGACCAAGCTATGAACAGACGTTGATGGACACTGAGGACCGGGCAGGTTTCTTCCATCCTGCAACACTTGGCAAAGATGATCATTCGTAGCTCAACTATACTAAGACATATTCCAGAAAGATCATTCTAGATATTGTAGTTCATCTTAAACCTGGTAATAAATAAAACGGCATTATACAAAATCACCATGAGCTTCTTATGAAACATGCTTTCCCCTCATTGTGCTTATTGTTCAGAAGCGGAATTGATTCTTCTTCACGGATGAAAGGCAACTGGGGGGAAAAAAGCTGATTTCCCCATGATTCCTGCAGAAGAAAGAAAGTACTGAAGGTAAAGATTGTTGACTTTTTTTCAGCATTCAACCAATCGTTCATCATAATTCTTCTTTTCCATATGATCATGCCACCCCCTCATATTCTTGTTACAACTGTGACCCCCTGGACTGTAGTCAACAGAGCAGTTCAGATGATCTTTGTAAAACTTAAAGTAGATTATCTCACAACTCTGTTCAAGGAACTTTTATTTTGAGAGAGATAATGGTTTCCTATCTCACTTAAAAATTTCAGAAGGGTTTCAGGAGCTCAGTAAAGTCCATCTCCTTTGACCTCTCTCCTCCTTCCTGAATGTACCAAATACCATATTCCCATTCCATTCTTCTTCCTGCCACACGGTACTTTTGCTGTTCCTTAAATAGGTCAATTTAGGACATTCATGTTTATTGCTTCCTATGGCAGGACACTTTTCCAACCTGAAACAGGAAGTTCACTCTTTCATCTTGTCTAAACTTTCATTTCATTTCATTATTTCAAAGAAGTATTTCCTGAATAATCAATCAATAGCAGGGTATCAAGGAGTCCTGATGGTTGGTATAGTGAACTATGGCTTGAACTGCTAATTACAAGGTCAGCAGTTTGAACTCACCAGGTGCTCAACAGGAAGATGAGGCTGTTTACTCCCATAAAAGGCATTTCTACTCTGTTCTGTAGGTAGCTGTGAGTAAGAATGGACTCGATGGGTGTGAGCAACACATCATCATTCACCCTGTCTTTTTAGTCTACACTACATTTCTTCTTAGCTCTCGGGACCTCTAACATATATTCACTTGTGTATTTCCTTAGAATAGGTTTTCATTCATTAGGGTATAATATTTATGAAATCCAAGACTCCGTTTATTTTGATTATTTTTATATTCCAAACACCTAGAACAGAAGCTGATGTATGCTAAATGTTAGTTAAAGTACAAATTCAATGGCTATATACGGTATTGTTGAGTAAACTAGATAGCAAAATCCACTTTTTCTGAGCTGTCTATGTAATTGCATTGTTGGGTGTCAAAAACTAGGAGTAGGAGATGATATGGGTAAATACTTGAAGTACTAAAATAAAATGCTTGGTAAAGTGGAAAGGTGGTGAAAACGTGGAAGGCCCTCGACGAGATGGGTAGACACCATGGCTGCATCAGTGGGCTCAAGCATAGACACAATTGTGAAGATGGTGCAGGGCTGTGCAGTGTTCCATTCTGCTGTGCACAGGGTCACAATGGGTTGGAGCCAACTCAATGGCAACTAGTAACAACAACAACAACAACAGCAAAATGAATGTTTCTTTAAAGTATAATGTAAAATATATTTCTGAGGGTATGACAATATGCCTATACAGCAATGTGTATATATCTGTCATAAAGTACTTGTTGACTCTAAACTCTAAACCTGTAATGAAAATAGTTTAAGATATCTAGCCCTTCTCAAAATGCTTAAATGTTAACGTGGGTGATTGAAGAAGTTTCTAAAGAGTAATTGGATTTGTTCTTCGTCAGTGGATTGATGTTGTTGCTGTTTTGTTGTACATTGTTGCTTGGTTTTGCTCTGTCTTGTTTTTAT